AAAACGCTTATCAGCATGTTCATCATCATGTGATAAAGGCATATCCGTGGTCGAAAATAGCTGAGCACCTCCCAATTTCCAACCACCGACCTCATAAGCAAAGGATGTAAGCGTAATCCTTAAGGGCGACTTTCCTATACATATCCGTACATATGCGTCCTTATGGAAATCGGTAGTGTGGCGATTGGCGACGCGCGCGACATTGTGTGGCGACAAAGTGGCGACTGTGGCGACACCTGGTGGCTGCTTTTCTGCTGTATGTAGGCATTGGGGTTTTGCCAGATGTGGTTCCTACTGCTACACCTATGTTGACCCAATACTAGAAAAGTTATTTTGCTAGTAAAAGGCAAGCAAATTGAAAGTTGATTTATAAAATTGCTTATAAATGATTACGAGATAATAATAAAGAAATTTGATTGAATAATTATTTAAATAATCAACCGTGAAACATATTCTGGTAGGTTTAGTAAATAAGTCCGTGCAACCTTGTGTTTAGGGCCTTGGTTCCTCCCATGCCCCTTACCTGTGAAAAGAAGTTCTCCACGAAGTCCTGTGTCAGCCGGGACGTCAATATGTACGACAGCTCGGCCCCATGTCGCTGACAGAGGGCACTGTGGAGTCCTCGGAGGGCGGTCGACGACATGATAAAGCCGTTCTGGAAGGGCAGCCGACCCCTGTTTCCGACCACACGGGCGTTCAGGCCTCGGTCGGAGTACAGGAAGCCACGGTTTGTTGGCGACAGGTCGCACACCATGGCCACGACCTGGTATCCGGCGTCCTCCACGGCGGCGATGGCCGAGAACATGATCTCGCGGGTCATCGGCTGGTCAAAGTCGAAGTACACTGGCTGTTTCCAGTGACTGCACAGGCCGCGCACCATCAGCACCTGGACTTGTTTGCACGGGCCGTAGACCCTGTCTTCCGTCGAGTCGTAGCAGACACGGTGGTCCACCGTCATCTCGTCGAAAAAGACAGCATCACGCAAGGGCATCACGAACCGTTCGATATCCAGGAGGGTGTCCCGGACACTGCGCATGATCAACGAGCAGTCCATCCAAGATACCTAAAAGAAACAGGTAGGTCGGGTGTTTTGAGTATAGCCCTGGTGACGTCACGGACATTTCTTATATGGAGAATTTCGCTTTTAAGGAAAATATTCTACAAACGAAAGTTTGTATTTTATAAGCAAAAAATACAGTCTTTCAATTTCAATATGAAACTTATATAACTAAACCCTCGCACGACCAGGCCATTTCTCATAACACGAACGACCAGGGGGGGGGGGGGGTTGTTACGACCCCCCCTGGCGTTTCGAAACGGAAGGTCGTAGAGCTTAGCGGAAAAACCAACGGATTGCTCTCAACGAGATCTCGCGATTGGTGGTATATTTTTTGGTCCTAGGTCAACATTTGACCTACTTTTGACCGGTCAAAGGTCAAATTTTCGGAAAAAATCGACTTTTTTCAACTTTCGGCGGCGATTGCGGCAAAACGGTGGGAGATATCGACTTGAAACCTTCACTATCGTGTTCCTTGATCAATTCTCTGTCGTTTGGTATGTATTTCGTTTCCCTAGCTCTAAAAATGGCGCGTTGGGAGCGCCGGAAGTCGGCAAGGTCACAGTCGGCGGCAGAAATTCGAAAAATCAAAATTTAAATTTTTGAAATCTGATTGTATTTTTGGATTTGGGAGGTCCATTTGCTCCCTATAGAAGCTAATATTGCTGCATATTCCCATTGAGGTGACAAGAATTAGCAAAATAGTGGTTCGGGCGCTTTTCAAAAATAGTACCGGACGCTGTTCCTCTTGTGACGTCATAGCTCCGTGACCTGACCTGACCCGGTCAAATTTCTTATACCATATGATAGCCCCAATACTTGCCCCAACATGCATGGGAAGTTTCATCACGATCCATCAACCGATGTCCGTACCACCGGCAGGAAACCTCGGGCGTTGGCACTCATTTTGTGAAAATCCGGCCGGAGGCTGTACCTCTTATGACGTCATAACTCCGTGACCTGACATGACCCGATCAATTTTTTTCGGCAAAAGATGCGTAAAGGTTGCCCCAGAGGGTATTGAAAATTTCAGCCCGCTACGACAAGCCGTTTAGCGTGCACTTCGAAAAAAACCTCAAGGGGGGGGGGGTTGATACACCCCCCCCCCCAGGCGTTCTAGGGTTAATTACAAAACTTGAAATCCTTTGAGTGTTCGTCCCAACCCCCTGCTATACCCTTGGTCACGTGACTAAAATGATAAACTTAGCGTTTTACAATGTTATGACTTAAACAGAAGTAATAAATATTAAAAGTGTACTATTTATGATGTTTTAGGCAGAAATCGTGTAAATATATCCTTAAATTATATATAATCTGTTGAAAAGAAGTCACGTGATGTTACCAGATTGTGCTCGGACAGCATCTTCTTGAACTTCGATTTCGAGTACTTTGTACCTCCATAGAGGCCTAATAACGGACGTTTTCAGTTATAAAATGAAGCGCTGAATCTAACAAGGGCAAAATGTAATCATTTGTTGCCCTTCAGGCTTGGCTATCCAGGCATGAACTTTGGCCAGTTTGTGTGCAAAGCCCAAGATTCCTTTACTACTCAGGTTGGTTCACTAGGGAAATAAAGGCGCCGTGGTGACGTCATCAGAGGAAATCCTTCACATTCAAATGAAGGGGTGATTTGAATTGCTGATTTTGGCTCGATATAGTCCTACTTTTTAGTTTCAGTCCCATTTATCGTAATGAGGCGAATTCATTGTTACATTAGTACATCTTTTGATGACATAAGCCTTGATTTTTTCTCCAGCTCGCCCGAAAGATGATGAAATTTGCATGCATGGCTAAGGGTGAAGGATTCTGCCGCCGTGGTGACGTCACGGTAAAGGAATTCTGGAGCTCGTGAACGGGGGCTGTGCAAAGCCTATGGTGAAGGGAAAACTTCACGCCCAGCTGACGTCACAGACCTCGGCTACCAAATCGTGTCCGGTGGGGGTCGAGTCCATCAGTCCGGGTGGAGTCTGAAAGGCCCGTGTCTAGGTGCGAAGCGTCGTGAGCCCAGACAGAGGGAAGTGAAGCTTGTCCCTCAGCAGGGAGACACCGGTTGGTCACGTGACTCGGAAACAAAAATCAGCTGATAGAGTGGCGGAATCACCGTAATCAAACACGAATAATTCCGGACGATAGAGCGGCAGTATAGGAGTTTTCTTTACAACAGGTAATCATTGCAATGTATTATCATTCTATGACCAAGAAACGTTCATAAATAATATATTTCTTCGATGATTACTGCCGCAACCGACGCGCATATATTGCAGCCAGCGCATAAAGCTGTGCTTTGCGATATTATATGTAGTGAAACGGCCAATACTAATAATTTGTAACAAAGCTCGAAGAAAGATGGCATTCTATCTTGCTTCAACCTTCTACTTACGCTTTTATAATAACGACAGCGACACCATACGGCCTATCCACGCTATGCAACTCCATGGCGTGTCCGGCCGCACTCTGCCGAGTGTGCCGAGATCAGAGGGGGACCATCCGCGGCAAGTCCAGCTGCACTGCCCGGTACCTGGGAGGGCGACGCCTAGCCCCGCTCTGGCCGCTCGCTTCCGCGCACAACTAAGCTACCTGGCTAGGCCTGTGGGAGGGGAGGGAGAAAACCAACAACAGTCTGATGAGCCAATGGAGTCTGTGAGCCGCGCCAATCAGCGCCCTTCCGCGCGCAGACGGGAGCTAGAGCTTTTCATCTCCTTTCCTGTTTTCGCTGGTCCGCCAGTCACCAGCATAGTTCCGTGCTCTCCATCTTGGCCGATTCGGCCGTGTGCGTCAGCAACAACAGTGAGAGAGAGAGAGAGAGGGAGAGAGGGAGAGAGAGAGGGAGAGGAGAGAGGAGAGAGAGAGAGAGAGAGAGAGAGAGAGAGAGAGAGAGAGAGAGAGAGAGAGAGAGAGAGAGTCTCGGATCACGCCAGGCAGTCACATGGGTATCTATTGTTTATTTATTTTCCAGTGATCGCAAGCGTTTTTGTTTGGAACCGGGTGTGATCAGTATTTGACGCATTTCTGTGATCTGTATGATAAAGCTGAAAAATAGTGAAATATATTCACTTTAATTCACATATCGCTTTTGATTCATGGTACGGCTGCTTGATTTTGCCACAACATACAAACACAGCCGATCTCGGCATGTTTCTGTTCCAGAACAGCAGCTGCAGTGGACACCAAAAATGCATTCATGTTCTGACAACTTACTCCAAAGATACAAATATTTCACGACGAACTGCTAAGTTCCAAAGAAAGTATTTTCTCGCTCACAGATGCTCAACAAGAAGCGCACGATTGATTGCAACTAGCACGCTCACGATTTCTAAAATAGCGCTGGCCCAAACCTGCCCCTTACATCCAAATATAATATCTTAATTCCAGCCTCTGTCCTATTTATTATTTATTAGCGCACCGAGAGTGAATGATACCACGGCATAGCCGTCATATTACAGAGCACAAATTGCGAGACGACGTTCGAGACCCGTATCGGCGCATTCTTTACAGATCCGGGTGTCTCGCTTTCACTCTCAATCAACCCTGCCACACCATCAACCGAGCCACATCGGCTCCGACCATCTTGATCCCCGCACTGAAATCTGATGGCCGGCCCGTCATTTCATCCTATCCGTCGGCGCGCACTACACCCGAGCTCACCCTAAAGTGCACTGTGCGGCCTTCTTCGGATGACACCTCTGAGCATGGCGCTTGCCTTGCACCTGGATGCTTAGAGCCTCTTGTTCGTGCACGGCCGTTAGCATTTCAGGAGTCGGATGGTCTCGGCGGTGGCGGCGCTGGTCACCGTGGAGCCGTCGGAAGACACCGTCAGCTCGAGCGCCCTCGACCAGTGACCTGTAAAGCAGCGAGTCGCGGCATGTCAAGACGACCGTCACGTTTCAGTCACGAAGGCCGTTATAGAAGTCACGGCGGCCGTCATATGCCAGCCGCGGCGACCATCACATAGCAGTCACGGTGACCGTCACAGGTCACGACGGTCGTCAAATACCACTACGAGCCACGGCGACCACGACTCATAGCTCATAACGTTTCCTGACGCACACTCAGCTATAATAACAGTATATAAGCCTGTACACACATTTCTCACTCGAGAAATCGAAACCCGAACCTGAGACCCATCATACGTCACGACACTAAGTTGCAGCGGCACCTGCATTAGCAGACATCCCATCCCGGCAACACAAAAAGTTCTCCCGAGCCACCCACCTAAGGACGCGGTGACGGGTCACAGAATTGTCATGACGTCGCTGATCTAGTGACGAAAAGGGACACAGCTGACCTGTGGACGCGTTGGTTCACACAATTAGGTACTGACCTGGAGATGATGTGATAGTTTCTGGTCAATGTCGATACGCGCGCCGCGTGGCTGGCCATCACACTCTGCCAACTCCGGATGACGTTCTACAGCTGGATCGACACGCTGTCTCCAGAACCACCGCCAGAAACAAGCCTGATGGAGGATGATATGATCAAAACTAAAAAACCACAAAGCACACAATGAAGACGACAAAAGCGGCGGCAGGCACATAATGACGATCGACGACCTATAACTAAATCAGCTTATTCAACGTCAAAAAAGGCTGCAAATGTATATATTTTACTAGTCAAACGCCCGTGATAGGCTGATGTGCCTAGCTAGATGTAGCTTGACTTTCCGAATGTGGCCTAACCCTCGCCCGTATGGGGGGGGGGGTCGAACGGACCCCTCCTCGGTTTTTCGCGGATAACTCATAACTCGCATAAAAAGACGCCGATTGCGACGAAACTTTCAGTACCCTCCAGTTGATCAATTTTACACATGTCCTTGACATTTTATGAACCTGACCCAAATGAACTTTGACCTGTGACCTATTAAGCCCAGCTGCCAAGAGCCATGGCAGCTAGTTGGGGAAGCTTCAGTCCAGATAGCATATGCAAGTAGTAGCCATTCAGCAAGTCTGGTGGGAGGCACTTTCAGCAACTGTTCAGGCGTTAATTGGATGGAGAGTCTGGGGTGTGTGCGCACCAAAAAGTAGCAACTGCACACTCAGAACATTGGCAAAACCTGGGTAAAGCGAATGAGAGAGGGAGTCAGGAATCAGGCGTGCAGGGGTAGACAGCTGAAACAGGCAAGGAGAGCAGTGGAGACCTGGAGACATTATGAGGAAACATTGGTCTGGGCAGACACCCAGGTTGAGGTGAGTTGTGAAGACTCAGTCACCCAGACTCAGCACTGACAGCACTGACATCACCATAAATGTTACCAAATGCCGTGAATAGAATAGTAAGACATTTTATAAGATTGGACCCTGGGGGAACCTCCAGGCTTCCCCCATCGGATAGTTGTCTGTCCAACCCTTAGCAGGGTGGATGTTTGGGAGAGGTGGACAAAGCCCGCAGAGGGCATGTATTTCATGATCGCTACACACATTGCAAGACTTTTTTAATGATATAATAACTCAAACTTATCCATGTAACTTGTCAATTACAGGACTTTGTGGGCTTTTGTTTATTAATTCTCAGAGCATCATCTTTTCTGGTGAGTTAGGTACTTGCAACACGCATTGCTGCAAGCTCCAAAAGCACAACTCGAAATGGCCAACCACAGCAGGGTCTCAACCTGAAGCAGGAGATTGAGACGCAGAAGAGAAGGAGAGGATCAGGATCATGGAAACAAGAGAGCAGAGGACCAAAACGAATCTGGGTGAGGGGTTTATATAGACTTGACTTCAGGTAGACTACATACTTCGTAGGATAGGTACCTACCTAATAATCCCGATGGCAAATCAATATAAAAACTATTTTGATTTGTATCTCAACTAACCACAGAAAAGAAACTTGACACAAATCCACCCCACCCGGCACAGATAAACTCACAATTAAAATACATTTCAAATCCGTTTCCTGTTCCGTGGCCTCTCAAAAACAAATCAACAAGAAAATTCATTAAATTTGAAAATGTTTATAGCCTTGAGGAGCACCTTGAGTTGAATCCAAAGCCATGCTGAATAGCTTGAAACTTAAAAGTGTTCTCAATCAGTAAAAGAAACGCCGTTAAACCAATCAAATACAAAAGCTGGCGTTTGCTAGCGATAGCAGTACAGAAAACTGCGCGCAACTGCGGGTGATAATTATGGTCGGCAGTTTTCAATACCACGTTTCGTAAAGTTCCCGCGTTTATGTTGTTTAAAAACCTATACCAATAGATACAAAATTCAATTTTGTTTACTATCATGCTTTAAATAGACCCCACATCGGTCTTGTTTTCTATAAATATGCCATTAGCTCTCACCGTGTGACCTTAGGCGGCAAGGAAGCCAACGCATACCAGACCAAAATAATGCATCTTTTAATTCTTAAACTGCAATAAATCATACATATTTTGGAAGAAAATTGAATTTTTATTTCAATAAAGGGTCTTTGTGAGCCCAACAATGACTAGTTCGCCATCTAGCTATGTTTTCGTCCAGAACTGTTTTGTATTCAAAATTCGAAGTTTTAGAATTAGACGTAAATCTTTTAAAGTTCCCGCGTTTCTTACGTTTTGACATTTTAATATGTTATAATGTAAGCGATTCTGTTAATTTTAGTGAAATATTTAGACCCCACATCGATCTAGTTTTTGAGAATCATTACATATAGTGGAACAGGGTGACTATGGACAGCAATGGTGGTTATGTATTGAACATCAACTAAACACAGTTTCCAACCTTTAAAAGGCAACAAAAGGCTCAGAATCTGATAGATAATTCAATTTTGATATTTTTTGACCATGTTGTAAGCCCCACATCACTGAAGTTACTCGACAATTCATGGCAGAGCATTGGCTGGTCCGGTAGGCTGAACAGCTCAGAACCATGGTAATTTCGAAATTCAACAAAAGGGAGTTGGCCTTTGATATTACTTTTTGTCCTTCAATTTTTAATTTTGATTGTGAAAAATTAATTTTGTCCATGAACAATCCTTGCAACTTAAGATATATAATTTTTGAAATGGCGGAGATAGCCAACAATTTATTTTCGTTAATGCTTCACAGATTCATACATGGCGTGGTCTCTGATCATAAATCAAAAACATATATACAAATAATAAAACTCATTGAAATTTGTTGCTTAGTTCTCTTTTTTAGGCTTAAAGGGTCAGCTGAAAATAGTGGTCAAAATACCTTAGTGTTGTAATTTCGAACCGGTTTTACCTAGTACTCTATATACCGTGTCCCTCAGGTACCGGTAGCACCAGAGGGACACGCAGCGGATGGAGAGGGCACGAACGATGTCCTCTTCGGTCCATTGCTTTTGGCCCTTGGTTTGCAGCCGGGAGACCTGCGTGTCGGTGAATGCCTCGCCGATAGCACGGCGCAGCTCGGCGAGCTCACGCTTCACCACAGACAGCTCGGCTTCCAGGCTGGCCTTCTCCGCCTTCCACACTCTCTCTGCCGCGGCATGGTCACGGCGCATGCTATCTATCTTCTTCTTTCTGCTTCTACTATCTTCTTTCTATCTGTGCCGCCTTCCGAGCCACGAAGGCCTTGTGTTTTTTGCGCGAGTTGCTGAGGTCGCCCTTCCACAGCCGGCATCTCATCGGCGTCCGGACATGACCAACTCTGCAAAAGGCATCAGCATCAGGTGGCATCACAGTGCATGTAATTAAACACACTTCTAGTTAATTTAGTGTGTCTCCACAGGAATAAGAAATGGCATTCAATGCAAGGAATTCAGTAGTGAAATATGTCCTGCTGTTTGAAGTTCAGTTGTCTGTGTTAGAACGATAATTACATCCTAAATGTTTACATCAGGATACTTTTATGACCAACCCTGCCTTATTATGCTTTGGATATAATTTATAAGACATAAATCATATCCAAAGCATAACCCAAAAAGAGGTGCTTACGGCCCACGGTTCTGGTACTTACCGCGGCGATGTGCTCCAGCGTCTCTTTGGTGTTCCAGAGCTCAACACAGCACTGCCCCTCCTTGGAGTGGAATGGCTGTGGAAATTGTTTTAAGTGAATGGCGATGGCTTTCTACGCTTAAAAAAGCGTCTACACTTAAAAAGCGCAATACTGATTTACAATATTTGATACAGAAAGATGATAGGAAAAAGGTCCAGTACATTAAAAATACAACAAAAAAGTCTCACTCTGGAAGTACTTGTAGTCACTAGGTACTGAACAACATAGCAGGTAGTCATTTGCTAGATAACATCAGAAAGTCAATTAACCTGTGAGGTCGCTTTGGCGTGGCAGGTGTGACATAGTCATGATCCGAAAAGTCGAGGGCATGACGTGTCGTCAAGCCGGCGTCGTCAGTCGGCGAGCCACTGTCGGTCGGCTGGCCGGCGTTGGCCGGCGGGCCGGCGTCGGTCGGCGGCTCCCCGATGGCCAGTGAGACAGCGGCGTCGGCTGACAAGCCACCGTTGGCGGGCGATCTGAATAACAGCAAGCAGCTGAATCAGTTAATGTAGCGTTCATTGCAAAGTGCAAGCCTATACACCAGTCTCAGCACACCACTTAATACTTTTTATAACTTAAATGAATTGCACATCTGTTTCAATTAACATCAAACTACCACCAATTGTGGAATAACTGTCTTAACCCGCGAGTTGCTGGGGGGGGGGCGTTAAACGCCCCCACTTTTTTCCCCGGGCCATAGCATAAAAACGGCGCGCCGCAGGCGCGCCAAATTTTGAGTACCTGTAGGGAATTGATTGAAGTTTATTGTGACAAAGTTTCCAAAAAATCGGTTGGAAAATTTTTGAGATATCGAGGTTTTAGTGACGTCATAATTTCTGAGTTTTCGACCAAAAACGGCATATGTTCAAAAAATCATATAAAATCACAGAACAGACATATAGACATGCCGTAAACACCATTAGACTGCCAATACCATGAACAATCAAATGGCTATCTCCGATTATTGATTGTCGTTCTGCATTTTCCAAAATCTTGAACTGAATCTTGGCAATTTCTCGTGACTACTTCACGACCATGATACATGAATTTCTTAAATTGAACTTTTTGAGCCAACCACGTACACATATGATAAAATGAATGTCACCATCGTGTTCTATGCTCAAAATTACCCATAAAACATGTGTCACAGGCTGCAAATATCAGTTTTGATTTTCATGGATATGTGCCTACCCGGTTGACCTGACCTTGACCCTGACCTATGCTTGACTGACCCCTACATGGAGGTGACACTCTTGTACAGGGTGTCCCAGAATTACCCAGACTCTTTTCTTAGCCGTCTAACTCCATGAAAAACAACACTTGTTTTTTGTTTTTATTTACCAACATAACCACCTTTAGCAACAATGCAGAAACGCATTCGGTTTGGCATTTCGGCGACTGGGTTCGCCAGCACAGATGGACGAATGTTGGCCCATGCCCGCTTGATCTGCTTCACGAGTCCACTGATGCTGGTGGAAGGTTTCTCTTGATCCAGCATTTGTTGCATGATGCTGCAGATATTTTCGATCGGATTTAAGTCCGGACTATTTCCTGGCCATACATCCTTCTCCCAAAATCCTGGCAAGTTCTCCCTGCACCACTGCTGGGTTGCTTTGGCGGTGTGCGGTGGCGCACCGTCCTGCATGAAGATGGCTTCATCCTGATTCTCCACCAGTTTTCTTTCCAAAATTGAACCGTTTGTGGCCGTCCGGTTCACGGCGTCAAGTCCCTCTTTCGCCAAGATGTTCTCGCGGTAGTACTGGCCGTTTATGGTGGTGTTGGGAGGCACCACGTCCAGATCAGAAAGAGCACAGTGACTCATCATGCCCCACACATGCACTTTTTGTGGGTTCTTGACGGTTTCTAACGCTGGGACGTTTGCACTATCTGACGCCCATACGCGGTCGTTTTGGCGATTAGGGGCGTGGAAAAGTTCAAAAGGGTTCATCTGACCACATCACGCGTTTCCAGTCGTTTTCGGTCCATTTCTTGTGATCCTTGGCGAATTTCAAACGATGCATGCGCTGTTTCTCTGTTAATTTTGGCCGTTTTTGCAGTTTGAAGGCTCGCAATCCCAAGTTTCCGCGGAGGTGACGGTACACAGATGACTTCGAAGTCGTGTAGCCAGCCCTGGTTAGTCGGAAGGCCAGTTTCCGTGTTGATTGATGTCGCTTGTTAGCCGCTAACGCCATAACTCTCTTCGCGACCGGGTGCAGGGATGGTTTTCGGCCGCGACCGGGCTTGTTGACCAGCTCTTCTCCCGCTTTAGCACGCCGCAACCACACGTGAAGTTGGGCTCGACTGATGCCCAGCTGCTTCCCGACACTTTTGGGAAACTGTCCGGCAAAAACCATGCCAACAGCCCTGTTTCGGAGCGCAGGGCTGTACTCTTTGCCCATAATTGCCTGTGTGGAGCTTGGCAGGGAAACAAAAAGCAGCTGCCCACCGTTGACCTCGCCCAGACACTAGCCGAGGTCACGACCCGACCCCGGGATGGCGTGGCTCTCAAGGTCAGTCGCTTAGGGACGTAGCATAAAAGTATTACGCCTACAACTTTGTTCATTACGGTACAGCGACGATTTTTATTGTAAAATACGAGTCTGGGTAATTCTGGGACACCCTGTAGGCCTTATATGATGGATTGTGCACCGTTTTGACAGAGTTTATGACGAGAGGCGCCCATTGCGAAGCCCTGAAGTCCATGCTACTGAAAGCCCGATTTCAGGTGTTTGACCTGACCTTGACCCGACCTGTGACCTCAAAATTCAACTTAAAAGTACTCATCTGAAGCGTCTCGTCGCGCTCTTTCGTTTGCCGCCTCGTTCGTTTCGCTGCGCCTATTGGTTCTCGAGTTATCGGCTGGGGGCGTTTAACGCCCCCCCCCCCCCCAGCAAACGGTGGGTGGCGAAATACCCCAGCAACTGCCGGGTTAAACTGTTGAATATTGAAAAGGTCATTTGGCTGAAGCAAGAAACCTAGTGAAGAGGAAACCAAGAGAAGCATTATTCAAGCAATGCTGCTTTACCGGAGGATTGTGCAGTGAAGGCGGCTACGCTCTTTGTCTTTAGACACAGGTTCTGGAGCTGGACCAGGAGGGCTCGCTGGACCATTATCAGTAGGTTGGCTGAGGGTAGTGGAAGTCAAATGTTATAGAATTATCATCGTTGGAAACTTCTGTCATTAGGACATTGCATGGATAGTGAACAACAGTACGAGGGGCGTTCAAAAAGTTCTCGGCCTGACCATGAAGGAGCAGAGATACGACGTCGACTTATTAGACCAAAAATGTTCATTTAGTCAAATAACCAGCGTT